CCCCAAAACCCCAAAACCCCAAAACCCCAAAACCCCAAAACCCCAAAACCCCGGGGATAGGATTAGAGGTTGAATGGTATTATAGGAATTTAGGCATCATTTATGGGAAGATCTGGTTTTGATGGTTTTTGATCATCTCTGATAAGAATTGCATCAACGCTTGTGTCGTTTTTACCTTTTGATTTGAATCCTACTATTCTCCTAAAGATTACACTTTTTAAATACCTTCTTGATTTTGAAAAAGTGCTAAATTGTCTTAACATCGAATTTGAGGTTGCTGACAAATCAGATTTTTCCCTAAATAATAATTTATTTTTATTTACATTTTTTTGAAATGTTTTAGTGGAAGCTTTTTTACAGCTTTAATTTTCTTCAATAATTTTCTTCTTTTTTTCTATACACATTATTCAAAACTTTTACAGCACGTCTCTTATTTTTCTTTGGTTTGTAAAGAACCTTTTTCTGTTGTTTCAGACTATCTTTCTCTTTTGACAAGAGTTCTTGAGCAAACTTCCTCTTACAAAGAATGAAGGCAAGTAGGTTATAGAAAGAGAATACCAAATCATATTTTGCAGCATATTGAGAACTAAACAAGAGAACCCAGAACAAAAAGAATTTTACATTTATGAATACCAAAACTGTTAGAGCAAGGAGTACAATCTCAGGAGCATCAGTTTCTTCTTGAATAAATAGCACTCCTCAGAACAAAGTTGAAGCTCCAGCTACTAGAGATTCAATTTCCAGCTGATTATTGAGCTCAGATTTGTAAGGTTTCATTCTTATTTGCAATCTTATAAAGAAAATTATGAATAAAACCGCTGCCAATGCTGTATAAGTTAGAGGGAGTGTAGCCATGAAAACGTTGATTGCAACTATGATGACTTTCCTAACAGTATTAATTATCTCCCAGTAATAAATATCAAGACCTTGGTAGAGCATTAAATAATAAGCTTGTGCCCTTGGGAGGTGAAGTGACTTTCTATTTCTATATAAAATAATAAAAGCAAGCAAAGGGCAGCCTATTGTCCAGACTCATATGATAGGAAATCCAATAGCGAATGACCACAGAAGATGTTGAGGAGACATTCATGTAATATCAAGGTCAGTTTTAACTTTGTATTCGTTTTTGTCAACTTGAACTCACTGGAAGATCTCAAATCCAACTTTTGTGAGCATTGGATGCATTAAAAAGATGGTAACAATGACAGTAATATACAAATTCCTCTTCAAATTGATCCTATCCCTCAGAATAGCATAAGCCAGAAGCCAAAAAAGTATACCTAAGATAATCAATAACAATGGAAGAAGCCCAGTTAGAAATATCTTGAAAATCGCAACAGATGGTGTAAATGCTTTTATCTCTGCATCCTTGATAAATCAATCGAAAGAGAGGAATGCTTCGGATGAAGTTCCTATTCTTTCAATCGGATAGAAAATTTTTGTTAGAGCAGGAGGAAATTTTAAGTTGAAAGACAAAGCTGTTGTCAATAATTGTAAGTAATTTGTCAGAATTCTCAGAAGTATTGAATGCTGACTTGCTCTCTTTTTTCTGATCCCAATTAAAATCATAATAGCAAAAAAGCTTCCAACTAAAGTGATAAGGCCTAAAATTCTAAGAGCATTCATAACAGGGTCTGGTCATTTTGATCATTCAAAATTTGCTAATCTCTCATATTTTTCTCCATTAGTGACCACTCATTCAGTTCATAAAATCCCTTGATACCCATCTTGACATTCGACTGGATACTTATTTTGAGGAACATATCCTCCTTCTCATGCTTCTGATCGCAATCATTCAATAGGTGCTGAAGAATACACAGAACTCCTCCAATATCCTTTGTGTAAGTGGATCTCTGTTCCTCCTAATCAGTTTGCATTATCCATTCATTGGGTACACTCAGATGAATTCCAGTTCAAAGAATACGAGCCTGATCCTCAAACATTGCAATTGAGGCCATCATCAGCTTCACCCGGCTTTCAATATCTAAAATTTACATGTAACGGATCTTGAAGTGAAGTTTTGTTATATGCTTGCAATATTGTTGCTTTATCAATTGATGTAGTCGATACCACAAAATCAAATGTTGTAGAGCCTGGCTCTCCTATCAAAATTAGCTCTTTGAATAAAGAAATTCCTTGCACAATAGGTGCTGAAGTTTGTCCTTTTGCCATAAATTTTTTTGAACTAGAGATGATAGATATTGTCCCAGAAGTTACATCAGCAATTACTTGTTTATCAATATCAACTAAAGACATGTTGAGAACTCTTTCTATTATTTGACCGCTGGCAACTTCATCAAGGTGTATTTTATCTGAGAGTTCCTCGCTAAGAACTACTTTGATGGGATAACTTGCAATGTTTTCACCATAAACTGCCTTATTTTGGTTAAAAGTGATGTTAGTCATAATTGGGCGATAGACATCGTAGTAGATTGCTCCTCCTTTTTGAGTAGCTTCATTACTATCAAAAATAATATCAGTAAGAGAAGTTGATCAATGGGTGGATTTCTTTCAAAGGATAGCTATTCCAGCCCCAGAGCGAGCTTTGTTCTGGGAGAATGTTGTATTTTGTATGGCTATTTTACCTAAAAATGAGAAATGAAATTACTAGAATAATTTTCAATAGGTCCATATGCTGTGCTTGTTCCTCCATTCTTCATGAAGATAGAATTCTTCATAAGATTCAAAACAGATTGCTCAAAAGATATTACTGTTGTAGCTGAATCAGATATATCTATTTGATTCATCAGATCTATTTGACATTCTTGAAACTTAAATAACACTATAATTTAATATGTAGAAGCTTACTTTTGGCTGGATTTGTAACTGTGATGTTTTGAATCAAAGAAAAATAAGAGTCATAGGACTGAAATAGAATACTTCTATAGTAAGAACTTGGAGATATGATTTCCCTATATCACAATTTAGTATATATTAGAATGTGAATAAATATAGTAGATAAATAATAGTTGTGAAACATCTTATTAGTAAGTCAGATCAATTGATGAATGAAGATCTATTGATTACTTACCAATTCTCAAAATGATTATCTATAGCTTTCTCAATCCTGAAATATGAATAATAGGGGTTGACTCTAGTTATTTTAATATTCTTGATGACAGAGGTTGAAGATCTAAGAATAAACAATTGGCTATTTAAGTTGTCAATTACTAGACCATCGATATATAAATTTGACCCCATATCTGAATATACCAAAGAAGTTTGATTATTCCATGTGTCTACCCATGTGATATTTGAGTTTGTAAGAACAAGTTCTGAGCTAGTCATGATTAAAACAGATCTATAACTCCATCCTCCAAACATCACTACATCGTCCATAATTGCTTTTGCCACGAATCAATCAAGAACAGTACCAGTATAATCAAATCTTGTTTTATTTCTAATCTCTATCTCAGAACTAATCAGTTGAATCATGCTCTCTAGTTCCAAAGAAATGAATTCATTTAGTGTTTTATTAATATATTTCCGATAAAAACTTGGGAGAAAGCAGTAACTCCATCAGTATTCATTTGGCTCTTCAGTTATATAATTAATATCCCAAGTTGAAAGTATTCCATAGTTATAGAAAACTCAATTATCAATGATTGGAGCATTTGGAACATCGAACAAAGAGGCAAATACTACTGAAAATCCATAATTACTCTCAAATGATGAGCCGTAGAATTCAAATCTCCCATTTCTCTCAGCCATAATAACTCCTGAGAATATTGCAAGATTGTGTTTCAAAGTACAGTTATTCAGTTGGACCAAACTGTCATCTTCTACCTTGAATAAAGAAGCTCTAAATGCACTATTGTTTTGGAAAACATTATCTGTAAAAATAGCTGTGGCTCCAGAAGGAGCAGCATGTAGAATGGCAGCTTCAGATATTGTGGAAATCTGAAAGAAGTTTCATGTCTCAACATTCAGAACAGATAAGCCTTCTATTTTGATGAATGACCTTGTGTCTAGCTCCATATCTTTGAAAGTTGAATTAACTATTCTCACCTGAGTTTTTAATGCTGTTGTGAGAAGAGATGAAGAACTAAGAGAAATATAAGCATTTCTTCAATTATTTACTTCCAAATTTTCAATTTGGATCTCCTCACTGAGCTGATGAGTGAAGCTAAGGACATCGCCACCTAACTTATCAAATTCGATTCCTGTAAATTTCAAATCATTCATTCTGATTGTAAAATTAACCTGATATACAAGATCATTATACCCAATGATTGGAGAGAGTCCTCCTATATTTTGGAGCTCCGAAATAACGGAAGCGGCATGGTTAAATTCAAAACCAGAAATTGAGAGTTCACCGTTTGACCCTGAATGATTAGAAAATTTGCTTAGTTTGAAAAAAGGAGTAATACAGTCTAGCATTGTGATATTTTTGAAATGAAACTGGCTCTGTGAACCTAAGATTAGTTCAGGAGTAGATATAATAATCAGACCGGAGGATATCTTTTCAAATGTTACATTCCTTATTTCTGTAGCTCTTAAAGCTTTATTGCTTATTAGAGGACTTTGGCTACTAAGGGATATGTTTACAAAGGTAGAATCATTTAATATCAGTTCATTGATATCCTCAATATGAAGAAGCACTCTCGATTGAGTAGCAATAGAATTTATATGAAGGCCAGTTGCATTCAAGACTCCTCCCTCAAAGTTAGTGTCAATATAATACTTTGACTCAGAATCATCATAATTTCAGTTGTTTATAGTCAGATCTTGTATTGAAGTGCTAGAGACATTAACCAGCCGCATCAATGACTCTCCAAATTTCTCAATATTTTGGAGGGTAGTTGACTTTATAAGAACTTGTTTGGCTCCTTCTACATGAAGAGCATAGGATTTTAGCAGAAAATTCTCTGCTGAAATGCCAGTAATGTTGACTATTGTTTCATCATTTCCTTTGATATTGATCAATGAATTTAAGCTGTAAAAGATTATTCAAAACTTACTTTGTTATGCCAGTTGGCAATTTGTATGTCACTCCTTCCAAAGAAATATCGAATTTCCTTGAAAAGTGTTGGCTCGTGTCAATATAGATTTGTGTGGATCTTTCTCTTTCAGTATTTCCTCCTTCAAGGATTTCAAGCTCTATATCTTGGATCGAGATTCCTTGAATTTCTGCAGTATGGGATCAACCACTCTGGAAGGGTGTTATTTTAATAGGAGGAGAGTCTTCAGGTTCAGCACCCAAAGATTGGAACTTATAGCCTTTTATTAAGATGTTTATGTCTCCTTCAAACAAAAGATAGGATTGAGTCTTCACTATGGCATCTTCTCTTGGTTGAGTGATTGTCAAATTATCGAATATAAGAGAATTTGATAAGCTCTTTGAGGAGTCGATGCACTGGCTATGAAATTCAAATCCAGCGTTCATCAGAGAGGCATCTATGGAACAATCGGTCACATTCAGAGACATATGAGAGAGGCTTTCTAGTGTTTTCCCTCCGCCTTCTATATGGCTCCTCTCCAAAACAAGAGCGCTCTCATCACAATTGATGGGGCTAAAAAGTACAAAATATCCATCGGATTCAGACTGGGGAACTGTAGAGATAAAGTCAATATCTTTAATCTTCAAAGTGGTTTGGTCAAAAATAAACCCTCTGTTTTTTCTCTGTAATTGAATTATCTCTTCTGGCTTTAGACTCCCATTTTCTAAAATCTTCGGCAGGTTTGAAGAGATGTTTGAGACAAGTGTGAACATAGATTTAGGGCTGAATATGTTATCAACAGTCTCCTTGATTTCTACAGTGACTCTTTGTGGTTCAGTAATCGCGTCAGTGTATGCAAGAATCTCCACACTATCAAGATGGACCAGGAAAGCTAGATCAGGAGGGAGAGATAAAATAGATTCCTCCATTACATAGATGGTAACCTTCATATTCATAAAAGCCATAAAATTTTGAATTAGGACAAATGGGAACACTAAATTTTTATGTGGATTATCATAAGTTCCAAACTCAACAATACTTTCGCTAAATGGGTTTACATAAAATGTAGTCGGAACTCAAAACCTCAGATCATGCACGACTTCACCTTCAGCAGGGACAGTCCCTGGTGAGCATGTATTGGTACAAGAAGAAGATGTAAGATCATAAAACTGTTCTTGTGAAGAGCATTTATAGCATTGCTCCCTATAAGCTCAGTTACTATGACAACTGCTTTCTCATTCTTCACATCTCTTCACAGTATTATCGTAGTAGAATGAGTAATCTCAGACATCTCAAAGGCCTGAGCTTAACTCCAGAAACATATATGACTCACATCGAGTGCATGAATCAGGCCCTTCTCATTCTTTTCAACTCGGGTGTCAATTTCGTCATATTCCTAAATTGTCAAAAATTCATAAATAATTCAGACAGAGAGTTGAAACAAAAATAAAATCTCCTTGCTCAATTTCCCTGAATAATTTCATTAAAAGTATTAGAAATAGAGCAAGAATGAGGTTATAACATGAGGGTATTTCTTCAAGACATAAAGTCATCTTTCAAAATTAAACACATTTTTATTGCTTAAAAAATTCAAAAAATTATAACCTAGGTTAACTATTTTTACCAACTTTAATAACGGATACTGAAAATTTAATGAACACTAATTTTCATTTTCAAAGCATAAAAGCAAAGTTTTTATGCTTCCTGGGCTTTCAAGAATATATTGTCAAACTTCATGGTCGCTTTATGGTAAGAAACACCGACATATGAAACTAAAAAATTAAACAGTGTATCATATGGAGAAAATGTTTGAAGAAATTTTTCAAAGTAAAAACATCATAATATGAGCTTAAAATGATGCAGGAGCATTATGTAAGGCAAGGATGTCTGAACCCAAGAGAGCAAAGGATGATGACAACAATTTATGATATTGAGAAATAATCAGCATTTCTAATAAAAATAAAATATAAGAACTCTAAAAATAAAAACGTATAGTTTAAAATTTAGAATTCTTTGATATTTTGTTCAGCTTTTGTTAATTTTGACAAAATATATAAGAGGAAGCAGTAGTTGTGAATTTCTTGATCTATTATCTCTTCTTAAAAATGGGTAATAGTTACAAATGTAATAAAAAGTATAAAAGCCTACCTTCTTCTAGGGGATCCGAGTAATATCCCCTTAATCATTTCTGCTGGCAATAACAAAATGTTATGAGCATGAATACTCCTCATAGAAGTTCTTTCGTGTTTACGGAAAGAATTCTTTTAATAGGCCATATCATTAGGAATTAATTTAATAATATAAAGTTCAAACTATTCTCGCTAATATGGGGTTTTGGGGTTTTGGGGTTTTGGGG